CCCGTCCCGCGCACTCACCCTATGTTGCTCCGCTCCCACGCGTCTCGTCCTCCCCTCCTCCCGTCTCCTCCTCCGTCCTCTCTTGTCGTTGCGTCTCCTCCTCTGTCTGACTACTTTCGTGCCGCTCGTCCTCTTGTTCCTCGGGTCCTTGCCTCTCTCGTTACCGACCCGTCTGTTCCAGTGTCGAGTCTTGACGCCCTTGTCGCTGCGGTCGCTGACTTCGCCTCTACCCGCCGCCTTGACTACGCCTCCGCTCTGGTCTCTGACCCTGCCTGTCCTCCGTCTGTCGGGGGTGCTCCTGCCCTCGGCAGTGACGTCCTGGAGGACCGCCAGTTTGAGCTTGCTTTCCTGTCCGAGGCTGCTCCCCATCTCTGTTCCATGCTGCTAGTCCCTGAGGGTGACCCAGACGCTTTTGACATCCCGACCCCTCGTACTTACGCTGAGGCGGTTTCGGGACCTTGGGCCTCTCAGTGGATAGCTGCCATGGAGCAGGAGATGGCATCTTGGAGATCCACCGGCACCTTCGTCGACGCAGTTCCCCCACCTGGGGTGAACGTGGTCGATGGCCGTTGGCTCTTCAAGGTGAAGCGCCCTCCTGGAGAGCCGCCTGTGTTCAAGGCGCGTTACGTGGCTAGAGGCTTCAGTCAGCGCGAGGGGGTGGACTTCTTTCAGACTTTCGCTCCTACCCCGAAGATGACTACTCTTCGGGTTCTGCTACACGTAGCGGCTCAGCGTGACTACGAGCTTCACTCCCTCGACTTCTCCACTGCCTTTCTTCAGGGCAGCCTTCACGAGCAGGTCTACCTGCGTCGTCCTCAGGGCTTTACTGGCACCTTCCCCCCTGGGACCCAGTGGCTTCTGCGGCGCCCAGTCTACGGCCTGCGCCAGGCGCCTCGTGAGTGGCACGACACGCTGCGTGCTACTCTTGCTGACCTGCAGTTCTTTCCGTCCTCTGCAGACCCCTCGCTCTTCGTTCGTGCTGGCTCGACTCCGTTCTACATCCTCGTCTACGTAGACGACCTGGTCTTTGCCACAGCTGACAGGGACGCACTGGCCTCCGTGAAGGCAGAGCTGCTGAAGAGACACACCTGCACTGACCTTGGAGAGCTGCGCCATTACCTTGGCATGCAGATCTCCAGGGACAGAGCCGCGCGCACCATCACCCTGACTCAGTCACACTTGGTGCGCCAGGTCCTTCAGAGGTTCGGCCTTCAGTTCTCCTCCGCACAGCCCACCCCTCTTCCTCTGGACCACAGACTCTCCGCTCCAGTTCCTGAGGAGTCGGTAGATCCCAGTGGTCCTTACGCTGAGCTAGTGGGTTGCCTCATGTACCTGATGACTTGCACTCGCTTAGATCTCGCATACCCTCTCAGCATCCTGGCTCGTTTTGTGGCCACAGGCAGACACCGACCTCAGCACTGGTCTGCCGCTAAGAGGGTTTTGCGTTATCTTGCAAGTACATCGGGCATGGGGTTAGTGCTAGGCGGACGCAGGCCAGTGGTCCTTACTGGACACACAGACGCTTCTTGGGCAGACGACGCCGAGACGCTCAGGTCTTCCCAGGGCTACTGCTTTAGCCTTGGCTCAGGTGCTGTCTCGTGGAGAGCTACCCGCTCCTCGTCGGTTGCCCAGTCCAGCTGTGAGGCTGAGATCTACGCCGGTGCCATGGCGGCACAGGAGCTCCGCTGGCTGACCTTCTTGCTCACTGACTTAGGTGAGCGGCCTAGCTCTGCCCCGGTCCTGTACGCTGACAATAGGGCCATGATTCTCCTGTGTCAGGAGCCTCGACTCGAGGGCAGAGCGAAGCACATCCAGCTGCGGTACTTCCTCCTGCGCGAGCTACAGCAGCGGCGCCAGGCTCGCGTAGTACACTTGGCCTCCGGTGCCAACACAGCTGATATCTTTACGAAGGCGCTTGCGCCTAAAGATCATCAGCGGCACTGTTTACAGCTTGGTCTGGTTCCTGTAGTCTCTCACTTACTCGGGCCTTGACTTTGTACTGTCGTCTATATATATATGTATACACTCAGACTGGACTTGTGTCCTCTCACAGTGGTTGGACTAGTAGTGCCGCCCTGTACTCGTTCTTGCCTTGTCTGTACTCCTTCTGACTGGTCTTTTAGACCCTTGTCTCAGAGGCTGGACTAGTAGTGCCACCCTGAGCTGCTTGTCTAGAACATTCCCCTATGCAGTCCAGGGGGTGTGTCAAACATGTGTAGTTATCATGTTTGTATAGACTGTATAGGGTCACCTTCTAGAGAGTACAACATTTAGGTATATGTTTGTGTACTCTCTCTCTCTTACATTATTCAATTCTAGGTTTGATATACTGTGCATGGGCGGCTTCTCTGGCATATGCAGCGATTGAGTAAACGTCGCAGCGTCGCAAGCCTTTGCGCGAGTGTATCAACTATGCGTTACAACAGAATGTTCAAACTCAAGCGTCATGTCACAATCATGCTGTGTTATTTTGCAACAAACAGATTTGCCTCGACAAAGACAAGACTCGACAAAAGTCCATCCCGCAAAATAAGACTCAGGGTGAAAACCATACTTACGAAGACGAAAACTACACACTTCACTGCAACACAGCACACGCGTCTCGCGCCTAACGTCATACGGAGAGCACATTGTCTCTCGGTCCTCGACTCGCACGCCCCATACCCGAAGTCTAAATTTAACCGCCTATTAATGCACAGAAATTAAGCGCCTACTATCCGCGATAGGTAGCGGCATGCGCGCCAAAAGTCATCCACTCGCCAGCGTCAGGGTATCCGGTCATGACGGCTGTGGCTCCACGGACATGACTGAGGTACCCTTCCTCCGCTGCGCCGGGCGCAGCGTTCGTGTCCAGGCGGGGGGATGCGCGCTCCAGGCGATCAATAACCGAAGGTTCGCGGATGTCAAACAACACGCGTAGATCGCGGGGCGCCAATCCAATTGACTTTGCGTAGCCAATCAGCATCTCTGTCGCCATGCGCGACAGATTGCGACGGTTCCGCTCTGAGTCTTGTGCAGCCGGAGAGGGAGGCGCATTCGCCCACCAAGCGTCCCGCTTGGCCATGCCAAGCGGCTCGACCTGAAGCGGATCCACCCCGGTCGGCTCGCTCGTTACGTCGTTACGCTCGGCGGTGACGAAGCGAGCGGCTGAAAGCATGTCGCTCGGCCCGAACGGCAGGGCGCTCATGAGCTGCTGCACCGGCTCGATGTCGTCCTCTAGCCGGGGCTCCTGCTCTTCAGATGTGGCATCGAGGAGAGGTAGCAGTGGCTGCCAGCTGGCTGGCAGCATTCGCGTCCTCTAGAAACACTTCTGGATGGTCGCGGTTTCCAGCCCAAGGCACGCTTCCGACACCCAGGTAACCACCTGCCACATTTCCGGCTTCCACTTCTGAACGGCGGCGACGGTCACGCCAGGTATCTGCCACTGTGCGAGAACAGCTCGAAGCAACTCGACTTTGTAACGTGCCTTCAGAGCTGCGATGAGGCCCTGATCCAGAGGTTGCGTGAACGGTGTCGTGTTCGGCGGCAAGTAAACGAGGCGCACGTGCGACAGCGCCCGTGTCCGGAAGCCGCATATGTCAGCTGACGTGGCGAGTGGGGTCTGGAGCAGGTGACTCGAAGCGTTATCTAGCATGACGACGATGCGTCTTCCTTCCGCCAGGCAGCACGCGTTGATATGTTCGAAAAAAGCCGTAAAGACCTGCGAGGGGCATATGGGATGAAATTCATGAAAGTTATATACTTTTACGTTCGCTCGACTCATCTCGCATCGGACAGAACACGGCACATTACAAGGTAGACATTCAAGACGACGCACACACCTCTGCAGTCATCCATCCCGAGGTGTTCGCGCGCCAGTAGCAGTACTTCGAAGGGTCAAACTTTTGCTTTGCGAAACAACGGGGCCGTTCAAATTTGTGAATGATGAGCGGCTTGAACAGTTTCGAGCCGTCCGCGTTTACCAGCAGCGCGAGTGTAAGTCGATCCTTGCAAACCTTCTTCCCCGGGGTAGGATCGATGCAGAAAGTGTGGTCGGGTAGGAGACTGTAGTAGACGCAGGTCTCGTCGAAGTTAAAGAGGTTCTCTGGGGTGAGGCCAAGCTGGCCGCACAGCCTCGGAAAATGCAGTTGCGCGGTCAGCGCGGCGCCCTCGTCGGCAGACCTCGCCTCGCCGCTCATCTTACGCCACTTGAATCCCATTCGGCGCAATGCTTTCTGAACCCATCCAACAGAAGCTTTGAAGTCGCTAGGGACGTTGCACTCGGGTGCTAGCAGAATAGCGCGCTGCTGGATTAGAGCGGTCGACACTGGCAAGCCAGCACCGTTTGTGCTTTTCAGCCAGCTCTTAAGTCGACCTTCGAGTAAAGGCCAGTGTGGGCTTCACAATCTTTTGAACTTGGCGCGTTCGGGCCCGATGGCCCGCCACTTCACTTCTTTTTGGAGAACTCGGCCGACTGTGCTGCGATCGGGCCACAGGCCGTATCTGGTGTGGCACCATCGCCCAATGTCTTCGAGACGTAAAGTCGGGTTCTTCTTCGCGTACTGGCAGATGGCAAGCTTCTGCCCGACGGACAGCGCAGTTCGGCGTACAGGTGCCATGCGGACGACGTCGTGGGTCTGACGGGCTCGTTCTTTGTGTCGTGAAGAGGTCGAAGATTGGGCCATACAAATAACACCGTCGTGTCTGCATTGTTGGCGGGGGGAACGATGTTGGGACCCCTCTGTTGCTTACTTGGCGATTTCCTGTTGGCAGACGGATGACGGAATTGCCCAGGGCTACGCAGACGGATTCTGTTCGCGTTGCTGGCGTTGTTCTAGTGGACCGTCACCGAGGTGGTCGTATCAATAGCATCATTTGGATTTTGGTCTCGACATTGGTTGGCGAGCCTGACACGTCTGGATGTTTAAAGGCTCGCCAACCAGTAGGAGAGGTCGCCCTGGAAACACAGAAACAAACTGATTGGACTGCCAAATATCAGCCGAATTGACTGTCGAACTCACTGTTCAGTTGAGACGGGTACACTTTGCTTACAAGGAGAGGTCCTTAAGGATAAAATGCCTATGAGATACTCCCGGGCGTAAAAGGAAGTCGCCTACAAGGCATATGACCTGTACTCCACTGGGGCTACACCGCTTCCGGCAGCACATGATGCCATTGAACGGTTGCCGCGCATGTGCGACGGGGCGTGTGCCTGTCGGGTTGGCGTGCTCTGTTGGAAGGGAGCCATCAGTGGTCGGTCGTTGGTGCAACATTGTGTGGTGTGGATCGGCCGCTGCTGCCCGTCAGCCAGCGGGCACGCACATTGCCTCGCCTCACCTGCGCCGTTCCCAGTCACTTGCTCCCGCTACGTTCCCACCCCACCATGTGCGTGCCATCGCCGCTCTGCTCATCGCCATAGCTCGCCCATCCACCGCGCTGTGTGGCCGCTCTGCCTGGGCGTGCCGGTGTGGTCCATCCCTATCGCGCGCCTCGCCATGGCTGCCAGCGGCCGATGGGGCTGCGCGCGTGCGATGGGCGTCGTGCTGCTCGCCGTCGCCTGCCGCCTGCACCATGTGGCCGTCGTCGCCGTCGCTCCCTTGCCGCCTGCCCAGCAAACGGAGATGCGGGAAACAGCCCGAAGCATGTGCGTTCACTACCACCCCTCGTCACTCCGATCGCTACTGACTTGCGCTCCGCGTTATCTCCTTCGTCCCTCTATCTCGCGCCCACTCCCCGTTGCTCCCATGGGCGCACCGCGTGTGTCGTTCACCGCGTCTTGATTCTCTCCCGTTCCCTCTCTCTCGCTGCGCGCCATGTCCACCGGTGGGTGCGCGCGCGGTGCAGGTTCTACCATGCGTACGACAACTACATGCGCTATGCCTTCCCTGTAAGCTCTCTCACCCAACCCTCGCCCTGCGCGTCCTCCACCCCCCCCACCTGGCCCCCCCTTGCCGTCCACGCACACCCACAACTTACCTCTCCCCTCCTCCTACCACGTCCCCTCTTCCTCCTGCCCGCCTCCTCGCTCACCTTCCCCGCATATGCTTTCCCCCTTGTGCCACCTCCAACGCCGCGGCACCGTGGCGGCGCCTTCCCCCCATCCCTGCGTGCATGCAGCACGACGAGCTCAAGCCGCTCTCCCGCTCCTACACTGACTCGCTGGGCGAGCTCGGCAATCTCAAGGTAGGCTCGGCAATCTCAATGTAGGCTCGGCAATCTCAAGGTAGGCTCGGCAATCTCAAGGTAGGCTCGGCAATCTCAAGGTAGGCTCGGCAATCTCAAGGTAGGCTCGGCAATCTCAAGGTAGGCTCGGCAATCTCAATGTAGGCTCGGCAATCTCAAGGTAGGCTCGGCAATCTCAAGGTAGGCTCGGCAATCCCAAAGTAGGCTCGGCAATCTCAAGGTGGAAATGCTATGGTGTCTGGTGCTGGTCGTGGTTTGGCCCAGAGCTAGAGAGGGAGGGGATAAGTGCAGAGGGGAGGGGCAGGGAGGGAAGACGGTGAGCAAGTGGGGAGGACCAGCGGTTGACGAATGGGGGAACCGCCGGCAAAGGAAGGAGAGGGGAAGAGAGGGGGGAGTGGGGTAGGCGATCTGGCAGCAGCACATCCCGTTTCCCTCATACCCGGTTTGCCTTTCCTGACTGTGCTTGCGTGGCTGGCATCAGATGCAGCACCTATCCTCCAGCTACAATGGAACGGCCCTCACTCTCATCGACTCACTCTCAAGGTTCTCTACTGCCGTCACGTGCCACCGCACTCCTCACATGTCATGTCACACCACACCATGCTGCCGCCGTGCCTTCTCACCCTCGCTCTTCGTTCCTCCGCGCACCATGCTGCCGTCGCCTTCACCAGCCGCACGCCCCTCTCTCCTCATTGCATCCTTTCTTCTGTTCCCCCATTATTCATGATTCTACCCCCCCGCCTGCACCCCCCTCTCCTTGCTGCTGCACGGTGCAGCCTGGCGGTGCTGGGCAATGCGTCTGAGTTCCGCCGTGCAGTGCGCTGGCTGGCCGCCTCGCTCTCCTTCCATGCCGACGTGCGCGTCAACACCTTCGAGGTGCGCCGCCGCGCTGCCCTGCCCCTCGCGCACTCGACATCCACCCATGCACATGGCCCCTTCTCTCCCTCTACCACATCCCATTTCTCAATCCCATTTCCCCTCTGACTCCCCTTCGTCCTGGCAGTGCAACATCCGCCTCTTGGGCGGGTTGCTGTCGGGCCATCTCCTCGCGTCGCACCACTCCCTCCTCCGCTCACCGCCTCCCTCGCCTGCCGCCCACCAAGGCACAGCGGGCAGCGCGGAGGCCACAGGGGGTGCGAGGGAGAGAGGGGGTGAGGGGGATGAGCAGCAGAGCTGTGGGGACGAGCTAAATAGGGGGAATAGGAGTGGGGTAGGGGAGAGAGAGGGAGGGAGGGTGGAGGGAGGGTCAGGGGGATGGGAGGAGGGGCGGGGGTCAGGGGCGTGGTACAGCGGGGAGCTGCTGGTGCTGGCGGAGCAGTTGGGGCGGCGCCTCATGCCGGCGTTCAACACGCCCACGGGCATCCCATACGCCTGGATCAACCTCAAGGTCTCGCCCCGCCCCTCGCCCCACCACTCCCGTGTCTACCAGGGGGCGTTCGTGCCTGGGGTGGGACTGGTTTGGGCGAGGGGCGGTGGATAGAGTTCACTCTGTGCCTCACCGCCCATCATCCGTTGCCCTTTACCTTGTCTCCCTCACTTCTGCTGTGCCCTGTCGTTCATCTCCCACACTCTCCATCCCTCCTCCTTATCGCCCCTTTCGTGCTCGCCGCTCACCTTACCCCTGTACCTGCCTAACCCCCCTTTCACCCGTGCCGTGTGGTGCAGTATGGTGTGAGGGCGGGGGAGACCACGGAGACCAGCACGTCTGGCTGCGGTGAGTCCCCCTCGCCCATGCGCTCACTGCTCATTCCCCCTCCTTCCTCCCGCATCCCCTTGCCTTCCTTCACTCGCATTTGTTGTGCGCACTGCGCCTTGCTCTGTCTTCATGCCACGGTTTCCGACCGCGCACTCATATCCTGTATCGGCTGCATTATTCTCCATGTCACCGCTGCCACCGCTCACCAATCTGTCCACCTCCCGCCCCTCACGCGGCCATACCCTGCTGTGCGCCACCTTGCCATCACCCTTCTTGTCTCCAGCCTGCACCTTATCCATGTCGCGTGCACCTGTCTCCGCGTGTGCCCTCCCTCGCAGGCTCGCTCATCCTCGAGTTTGGGCTGCTGTCGCGCCTCACGGGCGACGCATGCTTTGAGCGCGCAGCGCTGGGAGCGCTGCGGCGGGTGTGGGGCATGCGGTCGGCGGTGGGGCTGGTGGGCACGACACTGGACGTGGCGAGTGGGCAGTGGGTGGAGGGCAACACGGGCATCGGGGCGGGTGTGGACTCATTCTACGAGTACCTGCTCAAGGCGTACGTCCTGTTCGGGCAGCCCGAGTACTGGCACATGTTCCAACAAGCCTACACCGCCACGCAGCGATACCTGCGCACGCCACTCCCCTCCTCCTGGTAACAGCCCTGCTGACATCGGGGCTCTCATGACCTGCTTCGCATGCTTGCATGTTTGTATCTCGCGCTGTTGTGGATGCTATACTTCCTCCTGAATCACCCTCCCATGCATCGCCATCATTGCATTGCCCCACCACAGGTACCACGACGCTCACATGCACACGGGCAGCCCCACATATCGCCACTTCGGCAGCCTCCAGGCCTTCTGGCCCGCCCTACAGGTGCTCTGCTCTGCTGCCTCGCCCCACCATGTCTTGCGCCGCTCATTGCGCGTCGTTACCCGCTCTGCCTTGTTCGCGTGCACTGCATCCAGTCTTGTCTGCCCTCCATCCCTGCCCCATGCTGTGCTCTGCCCCCTGCAAAGGTGCTGGCAGGTGACGTGGCAGCAGCGAATGCGACGCACCGGCAGTTCTTCTCAGTGTGGGAGAAGTTCGGCCTGCTGCCTGAACGGTGACTCCTCCCTGCCCGCCCTTGCTGCTCTGCTTCCCGCGCCATGCCCTGCCACACTCCACGCCTCTATCACATGCCAGGGGGGCCTTTGCCCATGCAGCCCTGAATAGCTCAACTGCAGGCCCATCCATGCACGTCCTCTCTTCTCCCCCCTTCTCTCCCCCCGACACTTGCATCCTGTGGCGGTGCTGCGGTGCGTGCACGGCAGCTTCCTGTTTGACATGGGTGTGCCGCACCCCACGGAGCGCTACTACCCGCTCCGCCCCGAGCTCGCCGAGTCCACCTTCGCCCTCTTCCACGCCACCAGAGGTGCGCGTTCCCACCCTTCTCTCCCCGCGCTGCTCTGCTTCTCATGTACAAAAGCTTCGCTGCACCTGTGTGTTGCTTATCCTTGTCGCTTTCTGCCCCACTCTATTCCCATCTCCCTCCCTTCATGCCACGCCACTCACCCTCCCTTGCTCTGCCTTTTTTTGTACGGGTGTGGTTCGAGCATGTGTGTGGGGCCAAGAGGTTGAGTGGGGGATGGGGGGTTGAGGGTGGATGTTGTGCACATGATTGGAGTGGGGTTGTTGGGGGGTGGAATTGCAGACCCATGGTATCAGCGCGTGGGGCAGAGGATGCTGCGAGACCTGAATCGGCACACAAGGGTGGCGGGGGGCTATGCGAGTGTGCGTGACGTCACCACGGGCGAGCTGGAGGACCACCAGCACTCCTTCTTCCTTGCAGAAACGTACGCCCTCCCACCTTCGCCTCCCGTGCTCACCATTTGTCATCTCTTTCCGGCAGCCCCCCTTCCTTGTCCGTGTTGCTTATCAACTCAAATGCCCCTGCCGTGGCTTCCCCCACTGTCTTCTACCGGTTTCGCCTTCGACGGTGATGCGTGTGTGAATGGTTCACGGCGTGCAGGTGCAAGTACCTGTATCTGCTGTTTGATGAGGCAGCGCTGGAGCGGGGCAACATCCACAATTATGTTTTCTCCACGGAGGGCCACATCCTGCCTGTGCTGCCGCAGTGGCACCACTCTCCTCGTCGCCTCTACCAGGTTCGCCTCGCCTCCACCCTCTCCAGTGCTCTCATGTGCGCTCTGCAAGTGTGTTGACGGCGCTTTCACATGTCTCGTGCCCTCTTGCAGCCATCTCACCAAGGACGAGCATCAAGTGCGCCCAACAAGAAGGGCACCGGTTGCCAGGGTGGCTCCAGGGCTGATGGCCATGCGCCAAGCAATACAGAGCACAGGGGCTCCAGTGCTATGGATAGAATGGTGTGTCAGAACTTCCAATATGACTGGTCACGATTGTCACAGGAGCAGCAGCGACATCGAGAGGAGAGCATTTGTCACGTGCCCGATAGGCGCCCAGATCACAGGTGCTTGGAGGATATAGACTGTGGCATACATGCTGCCACGTGTAAAGCACGAACATGCAGCCCTGCTCGCTATTGTACCTGATTCGGTGCCAGTTAAACCGAATGCAGCATCAATGTGCTATCAAAGTGGGAACTGAATGAAGTGTTGTACCCTCTAAGAGATGGCCCTATATAGTCTATGCAAACATAGGAGATACACATGTTTGACACACCCCCTAGACTGCATAGGGGCAGGTCCTGAACAAGCAGCTCAGTGCGGCACTACTAGTCCAGCCTTTGAGGCAAGGGTCTAAAAGACCAGTCAGAAGGAGTACAAACAAGGCAAGAACAAGACCAGGGCGGCACTACTAGTCCAACCACTGGGAGAGGACACAAGTCCAGTCTTAGTACACATATAAAGGACAGTACAAAGTCAAGGCCCTAACAAGTGAGAGGCTACAGGAACTAGACCAAGCTGTACACAGTGCCGCTGATGATCTTTAGGCGCAAGCGCCTTCGTAAAGATATCAGCTGTGTTGGCACCTGAGCCCAAGTGTACTACGCGAGCCTGGCGTCGCTGCTGTAGCTCGCGCAGGAGGAAGTACCGCAGCTGAATATGCTTTGCTCTGCCCTCGAGTCGAGGCTCCTGACACAGGAGGATCATGGCCCTGTTGTCAGCGAACAGGACTGGGGCAGAGCTAGGCCGCTCACCTAAGTCAGTGAGCAAGAAGGTCAGCCAGCGGAGCTCCTGTGCCGCCATGGCACCAACGTAGATCTCGGCCTCACAGCTGGACTGGGCAACAGACGAGGAGCGGGTGGCTCTCCACGAGACGGCAGCTGAGCCAAGGCTGAAGCAGTAGCCCTGGGTAGACCTGAGTGTCTCGGCGTCGTCTGCCCAAGAAGCGTCTGTGTGTCCAGTAAGGACCACTGGCCCACGTCCTCCTAGCACTAACCCCATGCCTGATGTACTAGCAAGGTAACGCAAAATCCTCTTAGCAGCAGACCAGTGCTGCGGTCGGTGTCTGCCTGTGGCCACAAAGCGAGCCAGGATGCTGAGAGGGTATGCGAGATCTGGGCGAGTGCAAGTCATCAGGTACATGAGGCAACCCACCAGCTCAGCGTAGGGGCCACTGGGCTCTACCGACTCCTCAGGAACTGGAGCAGAGAGTCTGTGGTCTACAGGCAGAGGGGTGGGCTGTGCGGAGGAGAACTGAAGGCCGAACCTCTGAAGGACCTGGCGCACCAAGTGTGACTGAGTCAGGGTGATGGTGCGCGCTGCTCTGTCCCGGGAGATCTGCAGGCCAAGGTAACGGCGCAGTTCTCCAAGGTCAGTGCACGTGTGTCTCTTCAGCAGCTCTGCCTTCACAGAGGCCAGTGCGTCCCTGTCTGCCGTGGCAAAGACCAGGTCGTCGACGTAAACAAGGATGTAGAACGGAGTCTGGCCAGCACGAACGAAGAGTGAGGGGTCTGCAGAAGACGGAAAGAACTGCAGGTCAGCAAGGGTAGCACGCAGCGTGTCGTGCCACTCACGGGGAGCCTGGCGCAGGCCGTAGACGGGACGCCGCAGGAGCCACTGGGTCCCAGGAGGGAAGGTGCCAGTAAAGCCCTGAGGGCGACGCAAGTTGACCTGCTCGTGTAGGCTGCCCTGAAGGAAGGCAGTGGAGAAGTCGAGGGAGTGAAGCTCGTAGTCACGCTGAGCAGCTAGCTGTAACAGAACCCGAAGAGTAGTCATCTTCGGGGTCGGAGCGAAGGTCAAGAAGAAGTCCACCCCCTCACGCTGACTGAAGCCTCTAGCCACGTAGCGCGCCTTGAACACAGGCGGCTCTCCAGGAGGGCGCTTCACCTTGAAGAGTCAGCGGCCATCGACTACATTCACCCCAGGCGGGGGAACTGCGTCGACGTAGGTGCCGGTGGATCTCCAAGATGCCATCTCCTGCTCCATGGCAGCTATCCACTGCGAGGCCCAAGGTCCCGAGGTCGCCTCAGCGTAAGTGCGAGGGGTCGGGATGTCGAAAGCGTCTGGGTCACCCTCAGGGACTAGCAGCATGGAACAGAGATGGGGAGCAGCCTCGGAGAGGAAAGCAAGCTCGAACTGGCGGTCCTCCAGGACGTCACTGCCAAGGGCAGGAGCACCCCCGACAGACGGAGGACAGGCAGGGTGAGAGACCAGAGCGGTGGCGTAGTCAAGGCGGCGGGTAGAGGCGAAGTCAGCGACCGCAGCTACAAGAGCGTCAAGACACGAGACCGGAACAGACGGGTCGGTAACGAGAGAGGCGAGGACACGAGGAACAAGAGGACGAGCGGCACGAAGGTAGTCGGACAGAGGAGGAGGTGCAATGGTAAGAGAGGACAGAGGAGGCGACGGTAGAAGGGGAGGACGAGACGCGTGAGAACGGAGCAACATAGGATGAGAGCGCGGGACAGGGGAGACAGGACGAGCGCGGGAGGGACGGCGGGACCAGACGTGAGACAGAGGCGTCGAGTCAGGAGACAGAGGAGGGGACAGAGGGGGGGAACGAGGGGGAAAACGAGCTGGGGACGAGTCCGGCGGAGGGAACACAGGGCCGTAGACGGGAAGAGGAGGAGACGGCCGGGGGGGAGCAGACGTAGGGTCAGGGGACGGAAGGCCGAGCAGGCGAAGGGCGGACACCGGCGGGGACTGCTGCTGCGGCGGCACCACGCCGACACCGGGACCGCAAGCTGCTCCTCGGCTACCACCGGCACCCTCCACGCCAGCACCCGCAGAGGGAACACCCCCAGGGCCCGAAACCTCCCGAGGACCGGTACCACCACCAGGGCTACCGAGACGAGCCCGCACTCCAACGCCAGCACCCCCGAGGCAACGAACGGGTGCTGCGACGGCGGCGGCGGCGGCAGCGACAACGACTGCTGCGACGGCGACGACTGAGGTGACAGCGGCTGCGACAACAGGGGCGACGGCGGCGGCAGAGGCGGTGAAGGAGGGGACATCTGGGGAGGGGCAGCCGGCAAGGACTGCGCCGCAGGACTACCAGAGTCAGAAGACTCTTCAACCGGGACCACCGACGGAAGAGGGGTGACGTGGGACACACCAGAGGGGGCAGGACGGGGAGGGGGAGGAGGAGGGGCAGGGACTACCGAGGAAGGAGTAACCAGGAACAGGGGGGGGGTAACCGGGGGACCACGGTGAGGGAAGCGTCGGTAGAAGGAGACGGACTCGTCAAAGGTGACGTCACGAGAGTGAAAGAAGCGGTGAGACGGCGGGTGGTAGAAGTGCCAGTCGGACGCGTCAAGGGGAAAACCGAGGAAGACGCAGGGAAGGGTGCGGGTAGTGAGCTTGTCCGTGCCGGAGGCACGGACGTGAGCAAGGCAGCCCCAGACGTGGAACGCAGACGCGTCACCAGGAGACCCAGTCCAAAGACGGGTCGGCGAAACCTGCGGCTGCTGGGGGTGCGGCCACAGGTTAAGCTGGTGAGAAGCGTAGCGCACAGCGAACGGCCACAGAAAATGGGGTGCACCGGCATGGATCATGGAGGTGCGAGCCACCTCCATGACCAAACCGATGCGTCGCTCAGCGACCCCATTCTGCTACGGGGAGTCCGGGAGGGTGAACGTCTGGGTGATGCCCTCCGCACGACAAAAGCGACCAAGGACACCTGAGGCAAACTCGCCACCACGGTCGGAGTGAAGACGCAAGACAGGGAGACCCCGGTGGACACGGGCAGAGACAAGCCAGGGGATGAGAGCGTCAGGCACGTCGGCCTTCCGCTCCAGGGGAAAGACCGAGGTGTAGCGAGTGAAGTCGTCGACAAGCACAAGGAAGTAGCGCTCTCGACGCGGCCCATGGACGGGGGCGGGGCCCCAGACGTCCATGTGCAGGGTCTGCAGTGGCGCGGCGGTAGGGGGAAACGAGGAGGAGTGAGGGGCACGGCGAAGCCGACCCTCGACGCAAGGCGTGCAAGGTGGGGCTGGGGAGGAGGGAAAAGCGGGGAGAGAACCAGGGAGACCAAGGACGAGACCGTGCTGGGACATGTGACGCAGACGCGGGAGCGCAGGGTGACCTAGGCGGTGGTGCCAAAGGAGAGTCGGGTGAGTGAGGGACCGACAGGAGCAGGCAGCAGCAACCTGGGTAGACGCAGCCACCTGAGGGGGCGCCCCAGCCGGGGGGGTCACGGTGTCCAGAGTGAACAGGCCGGACACCGGGTCCCGGGGGAACGTGGACAAGGGGGCACCAGTGGCGGCCTCGGTACAGACAGCATGCCGCTCGTGCCCAGGGAACGTAGTGGTGACGCCAAGGTCCTGGAGGCAGCCGACACCAACTAGGTTCCTGGAGAACGAGGGGATATGCAGACCTGTAAGAGAGCCCGAAGGAACCGCCGGACAAGGAAGGGTGGTGGAACTGCGGGCGACTACCGGACCGCCGGAGGGGTCAGCAAGAGAAACGGCAGCAGGAACAGGAGAAGCGCCAGAGTCGCGGCGGCGGCGTCAGTGTAGTAGAGTCGCGGAAGAAGCACCGGGAAGCGCCGGAGTCCAAGGTGTAGAAAAGCGAAGCAGTGGCGTCCGGCAAAAGGGCGACGGCGGAAGCACCAAGGCTACACAAAGCAGGGGATCCTACGCCTGGCGCAGCAGGGGAGGCGAAGCTAGGCACACCTACACTAGACGACAGTGAGTAATAAGCGGGAAGCGCACAAGAGTCATCAGCATACATCACATGCAGAGCAGAAACAATGGCATCCATGTCCATGTCAAAAATCTGAATACTACGCCTAAGCAAACTGTGCCAGTCCGGGAGGTCCGGCGAGGGGCCGAAACACTGACGAAACAGGTCGTCCAGGCGACGAAAACAGCAAGGAGTGGTATGACCGAGCTTATCGCAAACGAAGCCGCGGCGAGGACCGGTCTGGATCTGGTAGTGACAACGCACACCTCCCGAACCACCACTCGGCACCCCACCACGCGCCCGACCACCGCCAGCGCCAGGCCACCCGGGCGGGAGGACACTCGTCTGCCGTGTCTGCGGCGGCTGCTGCGGCTGCTGCGGAGGCTGCAGCTGCGGCGACTGCTGCGACTGCTGCGGCTGCTGCTGCTGCTGCTGCGACTGCGGAGGCAGCGGCTGAGTTGGACTGGGCAGGGTCCCCTCGTCCGCTCCAGCACCAGACGACCCGACTCCACCCCCACCCCCTCCGGCACCCCCGCCT